GGCTGTACGGCGAGCTCGTTCTAGCTCCTCCTCTCGACGCCTAAATTCCTTGCTTTGGATGTTTTGTAGTCTTTATTTTGAGGCAAATTATATGAACACTATGTACCTGCTATAAGTGCAGTATAGGAATGCAATGCGGGCACAGCAAATCATACCTCCAAGTATAAGCGTAAACGAGGCCAAAACAAGCAGAAATCGAGTATAACCATTAATGCTGTCGTCGCTCACATTACTGTAAAACACAATATATATACTTTGGAAACTGTTTTTATCAGAATATTTCAAACAACTCTAAAAAATTTCCAAATCTATAATAAAGAATTTGGCCGAAGCAGCTATATTGTTACGGAAATGTGCCTAACTGAGAGAACTGCTCAAAGCTTTTCGACTAGAAATGGCAACTTTGACTACCTACGGGCCAAAGAAGACCGTTTGAAGACACTTCAGAGCTTACGAATGAAAAAACATCTAATGCACAATAGAATGGACTATAGAAATTTCTAGGAACATTGTAACGGTCGAGGCATGCTTTACACAACTTCAAAAAATTGGCCGATGCACTTCGTCAAAGTCGCCAGTATTTATTCACTCGTCTGCTAAAATTTAAGGAGCGGCTGAGAAATCTGGCCAGCGCAGCGTATCTGCCAAATCTTTGCTATGACCCTCAAGCATCATCCTCTCAAAGGATTCAATGTTACCTAGAATTTTAGTTACGGTTTGTAAGCTCGATTTTTGGTATCGATAACTAAGGATCATACTACTTCGTTCATCTTAGACAACTTTATAACGTCTAGAAATTTTATGAGTTTTTCAGCGATATATATATATATATACCAAAAACTTCGTAACATTTTCCTAACTGCACAATTTCTTCCTTATTTTAGAAATTGTTGATATCCATCATACCAGTATTAGGGCCCAAAATAAGGCGACAAGGAGTGTATGATCAATCTCTTCTATTCTTAAAAAATAAGAACTGGCGAATAAATACGAAACCACCCATAATTGAGAGAAAGCGGTTTGCAAAAAAAAATTATTTGTCTGACTCGTTGAAAATCAGGTCCAAATGCTGTGGTCTTCACAATATTGAATAG